CGGGGCCATCCCCGCCCGGGGGGACAGCGGAGGCTGAGGGGAGACCCGGGGTGGGTAGAGGGTGGGACTGAGCGGACACCCCTGGGGAGGCGAAGAGGTGATCCCTGGGGGAGACAAAGAGGATGAGGGGAGATCCCTGTGGGGAGGACTGGGGATGGGGCTGAGGGGAGACCCCATGGGGCAGTCTGGGTCCTCAGGGTAGCACACTCTACTGTAACCATAAACTCTACTCTCCAAGGCCTTCTAAAAAAACCAGAGTATTTCCATCGGTAGGTTTATTTTCTCACCGTTGTACTTTGCCTTACTTTGCCCTTGTTGTGCTTCTGTCGGTGAGTAGTTCTGTTCTGTAGATCCCTTGGCTGTTTTCATCTTCAAATCCAAGGAGGTTCTTTTTTTCCTCTTAGGTTATTTTCCAGGTTCTTCTGATGTTCTTCTTGCATCCAGTGTAGAAGGTGTTTTAAAAAGTGTGCTTAGAAGGTGGAAAATATGGCCCTAGAATTTGGGGATGTAATAATGGTTCAGAGTTGCAATATACATACATTTGTTTTTCTATATCCCAGTAATCCAGAAATCCTTTTTTTTCTTTATTTTTCCCCTCCCCTCAGTTCAAACATGGAATAGATCAAAATGACATTTTTAGTTTGGACCTTCTCTCATGCATAAACAAAACTATGATGTTGTATAACAAACCATAAGTCTCATAGTAGAGGTTGGGGAATAAATACTAACCCTATCAATTACTTCATATAGAAGTTTGTTGATATTTTTGTCTTCTCTGTTTGCAGATAAAGACCTACAGTTTCATATAGTTAAGCAAGCTAGAGCACAAAGTGCAAAAGAAGGCACAGGCTACAGTGAAGGTAAGTACCAAGCAGATACTGAGATGACTTCATCAGCTGTCATACAGAGAGCTGCTTTTGTCTCCCCCAGTTGTAGCTGCCTTCATTCCACTTGTGGACCGCTGTGAGGATTTTTTTAATTTTAGTTTTTGTATTCTTTCCCTTGTATATTTTGGAGCATAACCGCTTTCTTTACTCAAGGCAATAAGCCAATTTGAGTCTGTTGTGCTTACACCTCTAGTTCTCTTCAGGACTAGCAAATCAGTGCTGCAAAATTAAAAAGTTTCTTAAAGCACTAGTCCTTCACTCTCCATTCCGCTACCTACAGCTTTACTTTCTGCATGCTTTTTTGGATGTTGTCCTTTACCTTTTGGCTCTTTGTGACCCAGACTCTTCTAATGCTGCCTCCAGCCTTGTTCTTCCTGTAATGTTTTGTGTAAGGCTTAATTGCTAGACATGAACTGTATGTGCTTGTCCACCACTCCTCAGATCAAAACCCGAACAACATGCGCATTATTATGATACATTGTTTCAAGACTGCTAAGAAGCTGTATAAGAAGTAATGCTGACACATCTGCAAATACGATTATGTCCTGGGCTACTGCTCTCATTTCGGTAGTTTCTTTATGTTTCATTTTTCAGTGAGTTTTGTTTCCTCTGGAGGGAAGTAGTAGCATGAATTTGACGTGAGCACATTCAAGTAGAGAAGCAGCAGAGAAACCCTTTATCAAGTGGTGCATGGGAAAGATACAGCAGTGAGCCACTAGGTGCCAGCGTTTGCTGTCCGGTTTGCTCTGCAAGCTTCCATTTCTCTGAAGATAGCACTAAAATTATTGGGGTGGTTCTCATTGTGGCATCTTGGCCTATTCTAAAATTTACTGTATTGGAGTTGTTTAATTTGAAGTCTCTCGTGACAGAAGCAAATGGAAAACACTGTTCATTGTAAATTGCCTTTCAGGTAACTGTATCAAGTAATTGTCTGTCTTTGGGTTTTGGTTGTTTTTTTTTTTTTTTTAACTATTAGAATATTATTAGAATAACTATATAATAGAACAGAAAAGCTGTCCTTCATCATACGTTGTGAAACTCTTGTAAAAACACAAGCATGTAACAACTGGGACACTTTTATGTGCTTCTGTGACCCTGTAATAACAGAGCATTTTACATGCATGTGTAGGATTGTGGCTCTCAGGGAGGTGGTGTTATGGGGAACAGGATCGTGGAGATCAGGTCAATGGTTGCTGAAAATTTGAATCTTGTCAAGTGAAATGGTTTTCTGCAGGCAATATCCTGGAATACTGTATCTTTTATCTTTAGGGAAGTCACTTTGCTGCTGTTGTAATGGATTTGGAATGGATTCATTGTTTGTTTGGAGGATATATGTTTTAACTGAGGGAGTGCCAAGCTGACAATTCAGTGAAAGAAGAGTGTGCAGGCAGTGTGTTTGTTTTCCTAATTCAGTTATCTAAACTAACCTGGAGCATTTTGAAAGTGCCTTTGTAGCCCTTTTATCTATAACTGCCTGTGGCACTCTGTTGTAACAGCTCTGTAGAAAAAGTGACAGTGTGATCAAGAGTGATCTGCACAGTTCCCTATTACTTCTCTCCTAGAAGCTTTCATTCTTATTGGCAAGAATACATGCTAGTGCAGGTATTTTGCAGCTAGTTCCTTACAGAAAATGTTAGGAATAAGACAAAGCCAGAAGTGAGAGCTGCAGCCTCCTCTCTCTTGTTTTAGCTTGTAATCCTAGAGCTGGGGTAGGTAGGACAATACAGAGTGTCCTTTTGATCCTTCAAAGCGTATGAAAACCTGTCACTAACAGTGTAAGCAGTCAAGAGAGGTTATACAGCCTGTGTGGGGCTGGGGAGAGATTTGGGGCTTTTTTTTGACCAATTTTCTTTTCAAATTAAGAAAAACTTCTTACATATAGGTAGCAGGAGATGAAAACAGCGTGAGTACTGACTGCATGTTGAGCTTCTTGGTGTTTTCCTGTATAATTATGCTGTTTTGCTAAGAACAACTGTCTGTTCAACCTCCAGGATCTTACTCATTACTGCCTGTAGAAGTTCCTCAAAATCACAAGCGTTTCACCTGTGACCTGACTCAAGCTGATCGCCTGGCTCTCTATGATTATGTTGTGGAGGAAACAAAGAAACAGAGGTCTAGATCCCAAGTAACAGAAAATGACAGTGATCTCTTTGTGGATTTAGCAGCGAAAATCACCCAAGGTTCGAAGAATGATCTGTTGTTGATTTTCTGGCTCAGAACTGCTTTGTGTAGTTAGATGAGTTTTGTTGAAAGCTAAACAGAATTGCTTGTGCTGTATTTATTGTGAAGAGCATAGTGTTCTTAAAAGCCCCAATGAAGACTTGGCATCAGAATACACCAGCCTGGTATCCTTTATGTTGTTTACCTTCCGAGAAAGCCTCGGGTGCTCTGCTTTTGGCACACGTGCTGTGTGTATTTTAGTGGATGGATCTTTTGTTTTTGCTGCAACTGACTTCAGGTTGCTTGATGTTGTCAGCTTACTGTGCAGCTTGGAACAGTATTTGCTGTAAGAGATGATGAGATTAGGGATCACGTGAGTAAAAGCTGAACAAGAAAGGTTGGCAGCCATCCGATGGAGCTCTTGGGCAACATACAAGTGGGTGTATTGGACCAAGGCCTCTCCCCCCTGCCAAGTCATGCCAGGTTGTAACTATACGAGTGCACCTTGAGCGTTATCCTGTGGGCCCTGCTGTGCTGTGGAGACAGGAGACTGTCATCTGCATGGGCAGATGTTGTACAGAATCTGACTTTGTTTCTTACTGTAATACTGCCTTTGAAAACATGACCTGTATTTTGTAGGCATTTGACCAAATGACAAGCCCGTATATTGATCTGGATCGTAGTTGGGAGGCTGAGGTGACACAACATTGTTGGTGGCTCTTTACTCTTGTGTAAATGGCTAACAAGAAGGTTGGAGAGGAAACTTGTGCTAAATTCATAATAGTTACTAAGTACTGTGTCCTTTCTGAAGTTTCTCCAGTATTTTATGTTTCAGACGTCATTACTGAAGCATGAGACTTGCGGACCTGCAGGTGCTAATGTCTCCTTATTGACCATTTGTTTTACTTACAATTTTTTGCTAGATGATAGTCAGAAAGGTCCAAAGTCCCACCTTGAAATTCTGGCTGAAATGCGAGACTACAAAAGGCGGCGGCAGTCATACAGGGCTAAGAATGTTCATATAACAAAGAAGTCTTACACTGAGGTAAGATCTGAAAATAAAGAGTTTTTTGCACAAAAGTGCTTATTGTTTATCAGCCTAAACAATGATAGACCCTTTCAGACAAAATGTCTTTTTCTGCTTTTTGTACCCTGCCTTATTAGCATCAAAAACCGTAGAGGAATCTTGTTTTGGTTTTTGGTTTGTAGCAGCAAATTACAAATTATGGAAACATTTCTATTAAATTTTGAATATGAAAATACCAGCAAGGTATTGAACGTCTATTGTAAAATGGTGCCATTTAAATTTATGCTGAAATACCTTTTTCTGCAAGTAAGACTTCCTTTCACACAATTGATACATGAGGTTTGGGGGGGGTCTCCTTTTTGGAGATGTTTTCCTTCTGCGGTCTGGTTGCTAGTTCAGGCTACTAGCGTGACATGGTGCTTTTCTTCATGTTTGTTTTTAATGTATCTTAATCTCCAGGTGATCCGGGACGTGATTGGTGTGCATATGGAGGAACTCAGCAATCACTGGCAGGAGGAGAACAGGTTGGATAATACAGATATATGTGAAGGAGGGAAGTCAAAATCTTCAGGAAGGTAGGTTGCAGTTGGCAAATTCTTCAGGGATGTTAGCAGCCTGATAGCCTGTAATGGTACTCGATTGCCTCTTTCTAGTACGACATACACCAGCCCTGAGACATATTGACTGTTTATTTTATACTAATTTTTAAGCTCTTGCTTGAGAATTTCTGTCTGCCCAAAGGATGGGGAAAAATTAATCACTGGCTTTCTTTCAGGGGTAAGGAGGTAAGTTGCAAGTGTTCCAGGTGAACAGAGAGTTCCTGGTGGAGCTGGGGAACGAAGAGTGTTCCCTCTGTGTCCAAATGCATATATATGTGATAGCTAGGGACAGAAGGACACTTGAAAATACAAGTACACAAATTCTTCCCATTCTCTACCAAGACAGGAAATGCTATGGTAAATATAAAATATCTCAGATAAAAGGTTTTAATAACTTGGTAAACAGAGGGGCCCTTCAGAGCTGGCAGCGCAGTGGTAACTGGTAGCTAGGTGTCTGTGTCACGCGACGCTGCGCGCTCTCCCAAGCGTTTGCTGCTGGAGTAAAGAGGGACTCGTGACGCCGTGGTAGTCTGTGCTTCTTCAGGAGATCCTGGAGGTGCAAATGTTGAAACAAACTAAAAGGTGACACTCAAGGTGTTTGTTTTTGACATTAAAAATGAAGGTGAATGAAAAGGCCAAATGGGGCTTGTGGGGTTCTCCAGCTGTAGGTAGCAGTGCAAGGGAGGTGGTTGAAGAATTAGGGATTTAAAGCAAAACAGACTGAAACCCCTTGTGCTGTCTCCTGTCTCGTGAGCAGAGGTGATAAGACTGAGGGGCAGTGTTTCTAAAAAATAACTGGGTTAAACAGTGTGCTGAGATGTGCACACATAAGAACATGGACTTTGGGCCTCTTCTGGGAGATACTGTATTTCTTAGGGAGACCGAGAGGCTAAATAAAAGATACATCTCCTATCTTACACCATTAGTGGGACATTATATTACAAAACTGGTACTGAAAACAGTAGTGACTGTGGAAGTATTTTTATTGAATACAACCAATAACCTTTTTTTCAGGAAGGAAGACAGGCGCTCAGCTTCGGCGGACTCGCGGCAGTCTGGGGGGAGCTGCAAGGACACTGAGCGCAGCAGACACAGGAGGGAGACCAGCAGGAGTCCGAGTAAACGAAAAAGGAGTCGTGAAAGAGGCAAAGACAGAGATTCGTGGAGGAAAAGAGAGAGGTGAGTACAGGTAGTGACAGCTGAGTCCTGCTTCTGAATCAGGCAGCCATAGCTGTTGTCTTTGAGAACTTAGTGCTGAGAATTAGAACACCCAGCCCAATTCAAAAGCTGGGCTGATCTCCTGTACTGTGTAACAAGCCAGTGGTGTGAGGTACTGATACGAAACAGAACATGCTGAGGGATCACAGACTGTGGTCCAGACTTGAGAATTTCCTCTCACAGCTGCAAGGTGCCACTTTCAACAGCGCACTACAGGATTAGCACAGCGCTGTCAGGGGCTGTTCTACTCCTTGATCAAAACAATGGAGTTGCTTTTCAGTAGTTCTGGGTGTATTTTCAAGCAAAAGAAAACAAATCTAGGCCACAGGTTCTTCAGACCATCAACAAGGGCATGTTTGCACCTGCAGGTCTATAGCTGTGTGGGACCTGTGCTTGAGCAAAGGCTTGGGCCGCTGGGCAGAAGAAATTCTGCTTTGTCCCTGGTGTGTACGGAGGAAAGGTGGTACATACCCGTGTGGGTAGGAGAGATTGCTTGTCTCAAAACTGGCTTCATTACACAGTGAGGCTGTTCATCCTAGATTAATTGCTGCTATGGCACTGCACGACAAGGCGTTGATTGAAATAGCATGGGAAATAAACTGTCTTAAAGTAGTTTTCTTTCTTTCCTTAGAAGAGGACATGATTATATTTAATGCAAACTTTCAATTTTCCAAGTAATATTTTTTTTCTTCAGCTTCTGTCAGTCTGAGCCTAACAGCCCACACAATGTTTGTGGTTTTCTTTCAGGGATGAAGACAAATATCACAGCCATAAAAGAAGAAAGTAGAAACAAGACTGATTATTTTGTTTGTCAGCTGCTCAAAAAAGTACTCGCCCAGGAACTGTGGCTACTGCTGTTGTGCCAGGGACAGCAATGCCATGCACATGACATTGTTGCTGCATCACAGCTGTGCTCCCAGACAGAGCTGAAATCGTGTTAAGGTTTGCCAGGCTGGAAGCAGTACATGTCAGAGAACATGTAAATCTGCAGCTATTAATAAATTATATTTATCTCTCTGATCTATTTGAGTTTAGTCTGACAAGGCTGAAGAATGAAATTTGCACAAGGCTGCAGTAATTTGCTCTCATAGCCCATAGCTAGTGATGCAGAACAGAGCGAATACGTGGAGTCCAGGGTCAATGTCAAAGGGAAAAGGCATGAAGAGAGCTCCCCTCCCAGCCTTCTATCTGACTTTGCCACCCCTGGGAGCTGTGTTCCAGAAGGACAGCACTTACTGTCTGGTTACAGCACGTACCAGAGGTGAGAGGGTGGATTTCAGAGTTCTCCAACAGCCTAAAATGTCTTCAGCTGCAGGTAGTGCTAAAAGGATAATAATGGAGGAGTTACTGTTCCTGAGCTCATGCTCAAAGAAATTTAGGATCAATGTCATCTGACAAAGATGATGAGAATATAGTTCTCCACAGAAACTGGTGGGTAGGCACCAAGGACACTTGTAATACTACTGATTGCTGTTTTTAAACACTGGCTGTGCTCCCATTTCCTTCCAGAGCTAACTAGGAGGAGTTCTCATCCTGTAGATGAACATGTAAGTATTAGTGACAGAAGCTGATGAAACAGTAAGGCATGCAGGTAGATACTAAGAGTGTGCAGGAGGATTCCACTTCAGTGAGATTTTTTTTTTTAATTATATCAGTTTCTAGTCCTGTTAATTGCTCACACAATCTACTACACTAAGGTCAGTTATCATCAGCCAAGCTTGTTACCTCAATGGAGTTAGCAGCTATAAAAGAACAAGCTTGCAGATCCATCTTCCCTACAAATCTCCCTTCTGTTTGATTGAGGTGCCAGGAATTGCACCAATTACAGCTGTCCAGTCTTCTCTAAATTTAGTCCTGTGTTTTACTTCCTTTCCTACAATCACTCATGAAGTGGAGGTAGGAAAGCCCATAGCCAAATGCCTTTTACTGAGTACAAACAGGTGAGTGAAGGTGTCACTCCCTAGCTGTGAGCATCAGTAGTGGAAAGGCAGGAGAGCAGCAAAACCATGTATTGCATTAACATCCACTGATGGGGGATAAAGCAAAGGAAGTGTCAAAGAAGAGGATCTTCCTGTACTGTAATATGGAAAGAAGTCAGTCAAATACAAATTGTTTTCTTGCATGTGTTTATTCTTTTTTTCTTTCTGGTGCTGCAGAGTAGGCTTGATCAAAACAGTGTTGAGGGTTGGGTCAGAAAGTTTCTGAGCAGCACCATGCCAGCTTGTTGGTCTCTGGATAAGTAAAAAAACCCAAATGTTTTAGAAGAACACTTCAACATCATAAATCCTGGTGTGTTGGACAAGATACAGTTGAGGGTCCAACTAAGGGTTATACTAATTACAAGCAGGAGCTGTGTGATTAAAAAGTGGTTCTTACTAAAAAATAGTTAAGCTGTTAACTAATGACAAAAGAAAGGAATTAATTTGTGTGCTGGTGTGATTTTGAGCTCCCATGTGCAGGGAGCTGGCAGCAAGGTAAGACAGTGTATTGGGTTTGCATTGCAAGGTTTTGGTAATGTGAGGGCTACAGGGGAGGTGTCTGTCAGGAGGTGCCAGAAGATTCCCCTGTGTCTGATAAAGCCAATGCCAGCTCCAAGATGGACCTGCTGCTGGCCAAAGCTGAGCCCATCAGCAACTGTGGTAGAGCCTCTGTGATAACATATTTAAGAAGGGGCAAAACCCCCTGTGCAACAGCAATTGAAGCCACAGAGGAGTGAGGATGGGTGGGAGTGATAAACAACTCTGCAGACACCAAGGTCAGTGAAACGGGGGGAAGGTCCCCTGTGGCCTGTGGTGAAGACCACAGTGAGGCAGGCTGCCCCTTGGCAGCTTGTGGAGGACAATGGATAATGGTGGAGCAAATATCCACCTGCAGCCTGTGGAGGGCCCCATGCAGGAGCAGGTGAATATGCCTGAAGGAGGCTGTGACTCTGGGAAGCCTGTACTGGAGCAAGCCCCTGGCAGGACCTGTGGATCTAGGTAGAGAGGAGCCCATGCTGGAACAAGTTTGCTGGCAGGACTTGTGACCCCATGGGAGACCCATACTGGAGCAGTCTCTTCCTGAAAGACTACAACCCTTTGAAGGGAGCTGTCCTGGAGCCATTCGTGAAGAACTACAGCACTTGGTAAGGACTCAGCTGGAGAATTCTGTGGGTGACTGTCTATTGTGGGAGGGTCCCCACACTGGAGCAGGGGAAGAGTGTGAGGTGGAAGGAGTGGTAGAGACAGTGTGTGATGAACTGACCATGGCCCCCATTCCCCAACCCCCTGTGCTGCCTGGGGAGAGGAGATAGAGAATTGAGGAGTGAAAGTGCCTGGGAAGAAGGGATGGGTGGGGGAAAGCTGTTTTAGGACTTAGTTCTTATTGCTCATGACCCTACTCTGATTTGATTGGTAATAAATTAATTTTCCTGGGTCAGGCCTGTTTTGCCCGTGACAGTAATTGCTGAGTGCTCTCTCCCTACCCTTATCTCGACCCATGAGCCTTTTGTTAGTTTTTTTTCTCCTCTGTTCAGCTGAGGAGGGGAGCGACAGAATAGCTGTTCACACATTCCAGGCTAAATTCTAGCAGGAATATATGTAATATCTTGGTGGATCCTTTTCTCCATCTGCTAAAAAGTTCAGAGGTTTTGACACTGAATTTTGAGGGCAAAGACTTCACATAACCAGTCAGTCTGTTAGAGATGACATTTCCACCTGTAGTAGCATGAGTCAGGTCCAGTCAGCAGAGCTGTTAGTGTGAGCCTATGACTTCTAAGTTTTTGTTGTTGTGGAAGTTGACAAAAATGTGATCAGACATTAGTCTAAAGTCTACTACCCTGATATCTGCTGGAAGACC